AAATGCATTTATTTTAAAGGTAACAATACAGACTCAGAGAATAGCTTATGTTTCATCTATATTTATCAGCACTCACTGTACATTTGTGTCTTCATTACCAGGAAATATTAAGGGACATTGTGCCATCTATTCCTGTTTACAGTTTATTATGCAGAGATAGGAAACACTTAGCATGTAAAATGAATGTAGAAATTATTCCTGGATAGAAACACGGACATTTCCCACTCGTTGGCTCTTTCTCCTCCATCACCGGATCAGAGTGTAATTGTCAGTAATCAGGCCTGCTTGCTGCTGATAAAACCACTCTGAATGCTAGCAGCCTTCTTTGTGTGATGACTCAATTATTCCAGAAGTGCCTCATCAAATCTGCCCCATCAGCTGGGCTAATAAATAAGGAGAAGAAACTGGCCCCCCAAAGCAAATTATAAATCCATTTGCATTAACCATTTCGCTGGTCCATGATCTAGGCAGAAATAAGCATGGCAGATTGTGTTAAGCTTATTTGAATATGTTTATAATGTTTACAGCATGCAACCTTTTTTTTTTTTTTCCACAAGGTGTTGGAATTATCAGTCATGAATAGCATCTAAATGCAGTTATGTTAATTACAGCAAAGCCTCGGGCATCTTTGAGGGATAGTTTGTTGCTTAAATCAGGTGAAAGTTAAATCCTTCTGCTGGGCGAAATATGATCTTGCACATGGTATTGGAATTACTGACATGTTTAAAAGAAAGGATGAGTGCAAGGGATGTGTTTTTACAGGTACTGGAAGGACAACTGCCTGTGTTACCAAGCTGTCTTGCACTGGTAACTTCTTTGTCTCGGTGTAGAACATAGCAAAACAAAGTTTAACCTTATAGTTGGGAAAGAAAATGGAATAGTTGAAGCAGCAGTAATTCTGTTTCATGTGTACTCTTCACTTAATAAAACAAGTGAAAAGAGGAGTACTCTGCACCAAGGAAATTCCTTTCGGAAGCTCAAATTATATAAAAATTATTTTTCCAAGTAGACTCCTTCAGATTTCCAAGACTGCCCATGTGTACTGCAGTGAGGGTATTAAAGTGAAACATCAGAAGGCCAAACAAAATTCCTTTGTTTACTCATGTGCTGAACATTACACATGCACTTAAGAGTCTCATTGTGGTGACCCTTAAGTTTGTGCAGAACTTCATATGTGTAAAGTTATGTACTTCAGCCTGTGTAGGGTAAAGATATGACAGTAATCAAGAACTCAGTATATCATTAATTTGTAATGGCATCTTTTGCTTTCACATATTTTTTATCAAATACTAAATATGTTGTGTTATTTTACCTTGAAAAAAAGAGAAATCACTGTCACTGTAAAAACATGAAAAATATTCAGGGCTCATAAGGGTGAGCACATTGGATTTTGTTTCTTTCAATATTTCTTCCATTTTGAGTTAACAAATCACACACTGTTGTGATCGTTCATTTTCATATTTGCAATATATCACCTAGTGATGTGGTAAATGAGAGAAAATCAAATTAATCTGGTGGAAATTATATCCATTATACTCAAAAAAGTTACAGGGGTGTTTTACAGGTGTAGTACAGGCCTGTGTACTGAAATTCTGACAAAGAACCTCAGACTTCTGGCGGGAAAATTTTTGACTGTAGAATATGTCTTTTCAGATTATTACATCCTCAAGAATTCTCTATTAATCTGACCTGAATGAGTGGACTTTTACCCATAGACAATGGGTCAACAGGAATTGTTGCTTAAAGGGATTTGTCACGCACATATGATGCTGAGGATCGGGGCCCAAATGATGATTTACATCAGTATCCTGGTATGAGTCATGGTCTCAGTAGGATGACACTTCAGTTAGTACAAAATTGTGTTGCACTGGAAATGGCTACAAACCAAAGAATGAATTGAGAAGATTCCAGGTGACTTCACTCAACCATTATATTGAGAAATCAAATAACACATTTATTCCGTCTTTGTGGGTTTATAAGTTTACTAATCTAGTTGAATTGAGGTGTTCTGTGTGTTGACTGAAAATGGTAAAGGTTTTCTTTCTTAGGCAGGCAAACTACACCTTCAGGATGAAAAAATTCTGTTCAGTTGTATAGGGAGTTGAAGTGTAGGTGTAATTTGCTGTCTGTAAATCCTTTTGAATTCTTTACTAAAACAGACAAATGAGTTAATGCAAGCTATGAATAGACTGAGACAAATGAACATACGTGTGGACTTAGGGGAGTGATCCCTACAAAGAATCTTGCTTGACAATGAGTGAGTTAGTTCTACCTGAATTCCATCAACCACCTTATCATCTGAGTTACCAATAACCTAGACAGATGTCCTTGATGGGCTCTTGAGGCAGAGATCTTAAATTTTCCAATCGATATAGCAGAATTTTATCTGCATTTCTTGAGGCAATGCCTCAAAATTTGGTCTATGGGTACTTTTATAATTCATAAAATATACTAAAATAACGTGTTTCTCAATACCTTATTGTAAAATGTCTTGGTGTTACTGTGAAATCAGCACTAACTCTTATTTGCTACCTGAAATATCAGATCCCAGCGCTTATATGTGAAATGCAAGTTGCTTCTTGGCGTATGGACAGGGCTGACACATAGTTTATATTCCATTAGGGGTATGTCACATCCCATGACACAGCATAATCCTACACACTCTGTTTATAACAAGACAAATGCATGATATTGCATTAGATTTTTTATGAAACACCATATCTTCAAATGTGGGTACTCACCCACAAATCAGCTGTATGGCGGCCAGCACCTTGTTATGTGAAAGAAATAGAAAATAGAGCATTTAAACTTACTAAGTGGTAACTTCTGTTGTGATTAAACACAGGAGGAGAGTTCAGGTTTTATGCTTTAGATGAAGTCTTGCTTTTGTCCTACGGTAGCACACTCTGCTTTACAAAGATAGCCGATGATGTCGCATGCAAGGCAGATGGGAGTAAAATAGCAAGTGGCACTGTTGAATGCAGTTTTCCAGTATGATTTTAAAACCTGCCCCCAGCCTCAAATAGCCCCGACTCCTTTTCTTAAAAGGAGGATTTTCAATGTATTAGCTTATTATGTGAAGTTAAATCTGAAAAGTTTTGTGTATTTTCCTGTCCTTTGTGCACTTTTCCAAGTGGATCTCAGCTGTGCTGTCTTAACTCTCAGTCCCTTAGGATGAGAGAGACAGCAGATGGGGTTAGGGCAGAGGGCTGATGCTTCTGACAGCAAACGGCCTGGTTGTTGAGTGGAAGCTGTGAGCGTCAGGAAGCTCCTTTTCCCCAGAGAACCAACTAACCACTGAAGAAAGTTGAAAATGAGCCCTTTGAGAAACGCTATTAAAAGTAGTAAAAAATTGCAATTGTGCAGATGATGTGCTGCTGTGTGGTTATTCGGATGCTAATGAGTTTGACATTAGGGAACTCAAAGGGTTTACAGCTACTCCCTTATGTGATTTAGTTCTTTATTGGCAATCTTTGAGAAAATAAATGAAAAATATATTGCTAATAAATACGTAACATGATAGGATTTTAGACAAAAAGCTGCTAAGTCCTAGGGTTTAGAAAGAGCTTTGCTCACCATTGTAGCTGTTCCCAGAGATCTTTTGTTTTAGGTTAGTGTGTTTTGAACAAAGAGGAAGAGGCAGGTAGAAAGCTTTAAGACTCCTTTTGGTTTGGTTTGTGGTTTTGGGTTTGGTTTGTTTTTTTTTTTTCATGGATGTTGAAATAGAATAGAACGGGGAAAGAGGCCTTTGACGATAAACATCTTTTTCCAGCAACATACTGGCTGGAACACTGCTTAAAACCTCTTTTCGGCATTGGGCTGTTTTGTTCTGGATTTTCTCCTTTCTTTATCATCTTGCATCTGTTGTCTGTTTTGCTATTTGATAAAAGCGTATTTATTTTAATTAAAAGTTATATATGGGATGAAACTAATATTCTATCTATTGGGACTTGAGCAGAAATTAGTCACTCAATAATCTCTAGCTTCCCTGAGAATCTCTTCAGAATGAGCCTTTCCAATTTCAGAAATGCAACATTACAAATTTTGCTGACAAAACTTCATCAGATGTCATTAAATGAATAGTTGAAGTTTCAGCTTCAAGTTCCAAAAGTTTATCTGAAAACTTTGCTGTAATCAGAATATGTTGAATGAATAGGTCTATTCTACAAAATACACTAGATGCTATTTTACAAGGACCTCTGAAGTTGGAAGTGGTAGTAGCATCTTTATATTTTGGTCACTAGTGGCAGGAGTGATACTGAAATAAAGCCAGACCATAATTACTTCTTATGGCCAGATTTTCTCAGGTTGCAAGTGCCTGCAACTTTAAAAGGGTTTGGGTGTTCGTTATTACTGAATAGAAGGCCCTCGGTATCATACACTCAGGTATAAACTTCTGCTGCTCTTCTTCCCTTGCTGTTACCATTATTTTAGCAGCAGCTTCCTCACAAAAAGGACTAAAAACTGAACATGGAGAAATGTCAAGGATTTTGCTCAATTTGCTTACAGTGAGAACATTAGTCTGCCTAACTTTAAACTCTGATATTCAAAATCATGGGAAAAAAAAAAAATAAAACCACTGCAAGTTTTTCTAAAATTATTACAATATTTTAGAATGCTACTCATTTATTTTACTTCATGTACTGAACCATCCTACTCATCACAGGGGTTCCAATGCCGTGACTACGTTTTTCTACGTATAGAAACAGTGGATTTTTGTCTGTGCAAGAAGAAAAACTTTCTTAGAGCAGGTCTGTTTCATAAGCTGTCAGAAAGGGCATTAAGAATATAAAGAAAGTACCATAACAAAAGAAAAATTGCTATTCTTTCTGCCCTTCAGAAGCATCATTGATGCCTCTATACCACAGCTTTGAAAAACCACACAAGAAAAAAATGCACCTGGATTATTTGCCCATTTGATTTAAAGAGTGTCCTGTTTCATCTACATTTTATTTAGTATAGCTGGTTTTTGGTTTTCTTTTGTTGTTTTCTTTTTTCAGAGAATGAATGTCAGGATTATCTGTTAAATGAGGCAAGGCATCTTGGGCTGAGTGACGAATTTGGTCCTTTGGAATCTGCACATATTTTCACCTGGAAGCAGGCAAAGGTGGGAAAATTTATTTACTAAAATGAATTTGAGTCTAAATATTTCTTCATATTAGTACTAGAACGGTATGTGGTTTCATGTGTAGTGTCTCATGTACTAGGACTATTTTTCTCGCGTAGCATCTGCTCTTTTAGGAACAGCAGTCTTCAACAATCAGGTGTAATGATATTGAACAATTGAAAAAGATATAAATCTTTGCAAATACCTAGAAATTTTAGGCTTTAAGCTTCAGAACTACACCCTGTTAGCTTCACATACTGACAGGAACACAACTATCTTTGGATTTATTTGTGTCCCAGAGTGAGAGTGTATGTCACAATGCACTGCTTAAATTAAACAGTGAGGGATAGCTTATTTGTGATTTTTTCAGATAATGCTTGTTGAGGTTTTTATAACTATATCATTTGGGTGAGATAAAACCTTTAGTGTATGACTAAAACATCTCAAGGTGTCTAGACATTTTTTCTTTTTGAATATTGGCATTATCTTTCTTCTAAAAAATTATTTTTTGTACATAATAACTCAGGAAATTGTGACAAATTTTACTACTTAAAAAAAAAATTCAGGAAAAAAAAGGTGTCCAGAAAATAGAATCACACATCAGCTTGTGTTAAGCTGCATTTCAGCATGGTAGACTATATAATTTTTCTCTAAATTTAGAAGTCTAGCAGTTGCCCTTAATTTCATAAAGCTGTGACTCTGCCCTCTAAAGCCTTGGTAAAGCAGACTAATAGAAATACTTGGCACATGTTGGTTACCTAAGGGAATAATAGAACTATTTGCTGTAGTCGTTTGGCAAAAGGACATAAACATATGGCTTTGGTTTATATTCAGCACTGCCAGTTGTGCAAAGTTGCATGGATGAAGTATACCGCAGCAGTGACAACTCAGAAATCAGAAGTGAGAATCAAAATAAATCATCCTCATTACAAAGCTATTCAAGCCTGCCTCTGTTTTAAGGTTTATTTTGTCGCTGCATAATTTCAAGTAATGACTTCAATATAAAAAAGATATGTACTTCTCAAAAATAAGTCTACCATTCAACCATACAATAAAATGCCAAATTGTTGATGATTTATATGTGTTACAAGCATGTTTTAAAGTTTGCATTCAGTAGATGTATTTACTTATTTTAATCACTGAGAAATGAATACATTGAACCAATTATTCCCACACTATTCAACTTTCTCCTAGAGAAATCAGGAATAGCATTGTGTCAACTAAAACGAAAGTTTCAAAAAGAAAGATAAGATGACTCCTAGGTTAAGAATAAACAAAATAATAAAGCAAGACATATTTGTAGTAATAGTTCTTCAATAGATCCACTTTTTAAATATTTTTTTCTCCTTTCTGTCCATCAACATGTTATTAAAAAAAAAAAAAAATAAAAGAAAGAAGAAGCTTTAAACACAGTACAAACAGCGGTCCTAAAAATTTTGTCTTTAGATTTTGGATTTTTTTACTGCCAGTAGTTAGAATATATAAGCTTTATCTAGAAGTTGCTATGTGTATACTTTGCATTTCCCTCTCGCACTGTACTCCTCACTGTCAGCCTGCCATGAATACTTTTTATTAAAAAAACATATTGGGGAATGACAGAAAGATGCAGTCAGCACACATCTATATGCAGACAGTCAAATAGCGCTACGTACTTCAGGATGGGCTATAGAAAATATTTATTTCTAAACATAGAAAATTTTTTCCTTTATAACATTATTCTCTTTTTATGTGTTAGATTCTAAAATGATTTATTGAAAAGAAACATTAAAACATGAATGCCAAAAGCGCCGAAAAGCTTGCTGTGAGGGAATTTTTTATTGTAGGGTAAGGCGCACACAGTGTCATGTCACCTTGGGGCATGGTACAGCAGAGACATGTTTGTAGTGCTTAGCAGTGTCGGACTTCAACTTTGAAGTCACGGATTGTGTTTGAGACTTGAGGATGGATTTGCCTTAAAAATTATTGAGTTGGTGTTTTGGGTTTTTTTTCTGGCTAAGTTCATTTGTCTAGTGATAGATGTAACTGTTGCTGCTGCACAAACTTAAGTAATTTACAGATAAAAATAATAGAGAAAAGCTAGTCTTTTTTCAGACCTCTCAAAATCAGTTAGGGTTTGTTCTAGAGAACTTGTTTGCGAAATTTACTTTTGAAAATCAGATATGACTTTTAGCTGGAAAGTCACAATAAAATGTCAACTTTTACACTCCTTATTTTCAGATAAATTGGTGATTTCTTTTCCTCTAGCTAGTTAGGCAGAAGATAAGAGACTGCCGCCCCAGCAGTTTGAAATCCACTCTAGGAAAGTCATGCTTGTAAAAAGATTACAATAGAAATTAGAAAGCCCATAGCTCTTACATTAGCTCTTTCCAGGAGGAGCATTTCACTTTTACCTATGTCAGCAGCACTAGCTTCCTCAAGTCACAGTTTCACAGTAATGTGCTGTAAAACTATCTTACCAAGATAGTAGTCTCAATTTAGTTTCCCAAATTCAGAACTAAAAAATGTTCAAGTAAACCGAAATAGTTATTATTATTGTTATATTTATTGCACATGCCCTATTTTCAGCTGTTAGTCATATTCTTGGATCCCATTATAATATCAGTACATGCACATGTGCACAGATAGGCTCCAGGAACACATAAAACCAAACTCAGTCAAAACCTGATTCTCTCACTCAGGGAAGTATTTCCAGGCGCTCCTCTTGAGTCCACTGATGGCAGTGAGATGATACAACCAGAAGAAGTAACATTTGGTTTCTGCAGCCAGGAACTCTGAAATACTTTGCTCAGAAAGTGTGACTGCTGCTATTCTATCAGTATTCTGGGGAAACATGAATACCCTGTAGCGGCCACAATGCATGTTACTCTAGTTTCAGCCAAGCAGAATTTGTGGTATCATAGGAGACTCCAGTCAGATTTCTGGGATCTAGTTATTGACTTACCCTTAAGCTTCAACCGATATTGAAGAAGAGGTGGAGGAAGGAACAAATTGAAATTCACTAAATCGGACAGAAAATATTCACAAACTTAGAGATATTTGTTGGAACATGCTTTCAGAAAATCAGCATCCTCAGTAAATTTCCAGATCACAGGACTAGGGCATAACTGAAGCAATCCTAAGGCAAGCGTGCTTTTCTTAGCCTGCTTGCTTAATGATTTGGGACTGCATAGCTCCTACCCCTCTGTCTCTGTGTTTCTGATTGTGTATCTCTCACTAACTCTCTTTGAGTCCATTAGCTAATTTCAACTAATTTTGAAAAGAAAATATTTAGATGAGTTTAAAACCCATCAAATCAGAGAATCTAGGTATAAGCCACAAAAATAAAGTGGAATTAATTCCACTATTCACCTGTCATTATTTTTGTGAACCATACCCTTATGGAACTATAACTCCCAATCAAATTTTCCTGGCAAGCACTTAGATATTAGTCCAATGGTCCTGTTGGCTAAAAATATTAGTAGTGAGACATTGTGTGAGGATTTTTTGCAGACCTGACCATTCCATTTATCCCTTATGGTTTCTTGTCTCAATGCAACGTAAGTACTGGGAGGGAGGGCTTACCATCCCTGGCTTTGAGAGCATAAAACACCTTCCAGAATCCATCCAATCTTTACATCAATAAGATATGTCTCTCAAATTAACACCTTGATAGCAATTACCTTGATGGCAGTAAAAAATATTGGGTGGAATTTCTCACTTATAGTTTAATTCTTTTGTGGTTCCATGGGTGATTTAAAGTTTCAATACATCTTGCTGACCATCTCTGGCTGTAATTTCATGCAAAAGATCACTATGTAAATAAACATCAGAAGTGAGAAACTTTGTTCACTTTTTTAGTATCAGGCATTCTCTGAAAGTACTATTAAAGCCCAAAGATATAACATTTAAATTTTGAGCAAGAGAGCATTTAAATTTTTTGCTGACACACTTAAATTATTTCAGTTTTATTCCCTTACTTTTGTATAATTTTGAAGTTAATGCATGGGCCTTTTGTAAGTTAAGGTGTCTTTTATACAGCACAGACACGATGATTATTTTAATATGTGGTATGCACCAAGCTAAATAGTCCTATAAAATTTAGGTTTGAGTTGATTAAACAACCCTCATCGTTTCAAATTATTACAAGGAAAGGAAATCAATAGAAAAATCACCTGCATTGATTTTATTGTTGGTTTTCACTCATTGTGCCGTTTTTAAATATTCATCACAATGCAACGTGCTATTTAGACAAAAGTAACTGCTGTTCAGTAGAAGCAGTGGCCACTTTTTGTTTCATAATTAAAAGAGCAGCACTGTGATTGGTGTGGTATTTATTATGAAATGATGACAAAGGAGTACCAGTGGTTTTAATAGTTTTAGCTTACAGGAGCTGTTGTTAATTTTGTCTGTAGGGTTGCAGGTGAAATAATGCACAGTGGATAAATAGTCTATATTGGTTTAACTGAACATAATATATAGTGTGTTCTGGAGTTGTTTGTCTCAATAGACTATAGTAATCAAAAGTAATGAACCTATTATGTGCAGGACCTTGGAGAGCATAGAATGGCAGTAAAAGTGTGGCACATAAAAGGTTTATTAAAGGAAATTAAAGTCCATCATTGCCACACCTGCTCCCCTATTATAAGTCTATGGCAGGTCAGTGCCTTCAATCACAACTCAGCATCAGAGAACAGAGCCATGTTTCCCATTACCATTGCAGTCACATTGCAAAAACTCGTTCTCCAGGTTTTAAGGATAGTAACAAGTAAAGGCTGCCATCAGCCCCACTATGTAAACACAAGCCACTCATGTTCCTTCCTTGTTAATAATCAGCATCAGATGTAAATTTAAACAGAGAAAAGATATCATTGTCTGGCTTTGAGATGCGTTTCAATCAATTTATACTTTCATTTCAGATATTGCTAACCTGTGTTCTAGAATTAGACTTCGTCAAGTACACGCATACCATTTTCAAATGCGTGTGTTCTCTCCTGCAAATAGGTATTTTGATTCCAGTAGCTGTATATAATGTGTAACCATACATAACAACCAACAGAAAAAATACAGGACATTAGAGAAATGGTTTTTCTCCTCTAGGAAGGTTGATTTTACTCCTTTTTTTTTTTTCCCCCTCAGGTCAATTTTGTCAAATTCTGCAATGTTCTTTCAGATAAGACCTTCAAAACATCTCAGTTATCTGAGTCATATAAAGCTAAAAATAAAGCATCCTCAGATCTTCAAACTCTATAAATGGAAAAAGGCACAAACAGAGCTTCTTGTTTCTTCTCTCAGTGGGTCAAATCAGTTCTGCTGATCCTCAGAAACAAAAAATGAAATAATAGACAGGATCTTCTGTTGACGTTTTTTATCTTTATCTTATCTTACCTTTTGCAAGGAAAGATGACAGGCATAGGAAACTTCTGCTATCCACAGAATGCATCTACCTATTGCCCAACACGTTAATATAAATCACATGCTGGTGTCGGTATTTGTTCCTGCATATTTCTGCAGAAGCATATGCGTGTTTCTTAATCTACAGTGTGTCTGATCATCGCTGTTTTACAAGCAGGGAAACTGAGATTCAAAGCACAGATAGATAGTAAGTTACCACCAGAGACAGAAGAAAAATTCCAGACTTCTTGATATTTTGCCTAGACAAAAATTCCTAGGAACAGTCTCTTTCTTACATAAGAATGAAGAGTTACTTCTAGAAAGGAGTTTTTCTCCCTCGACATGGTCAAAATTACACTGTTGTACAGTCTGCTGTATGTCACTGCAGCTCTCCACACCAGAACATGAAATCTTAATCCCTTTGAATTTCAGGGGTTTGTAATAAAATCCATGGCTTGAAAACCTGCCCCTACAATTATGGGTCTGGGCCAGATCCAAGACCAGAAGGTGCATATTTCCAGTGCTGGTTTAGATGTAGCCAACAGTGTCATGACAACAGCTGATCTTGAATGGTCTCTCTTATTTCAGTCAGAAATCTTACAGCAACAGCTCATTTTCTGGGCGGGTTGGATTTTTTGGTTGTTTTGTTTGGGGTTTTTTAATGTGAAATACAAGCCTGGATACTACATTCTCCCAAACCCTCATACAAATTTGTAACTGTCTCTTTGACCAAAACTTCCATAAGAAGTAGCTGATTAAGTGGTATTTAAAAGTATTTCAAAGCTGTACCTGTGTGATTATGCACATTCAAGCAAGAGGGTTTCACATTTTAAAGATGAAGTTGTCAGAAATGCAGGTTCCAACACAGCTATTAAGATATGCTTCAGTTACAACAATAATGCAAAGCAGGTACTGTGGCTTTCTGGGACTCCTTTTTCCAGGAGGTGAATGCTGAAAGCAGCACTCATACAACACTGCTGTTCCTAACCTTATGCCTGCAGCTAACACCTGTAGACCTTGTCATTAAACCTTACAGAGTCACTCATAACCATCACTTTATTAAACAAATCTGTATCATTAAAGGTATCTCCTAGGTATTTACTAGATATTCACAGATGGCTTTTTATCTCTTTGACAAGATTAATAAGGCATGATTATTCTTCTTTCTATTACTGTCTAGCTTTTGGAAATGGTGGGGTGGGGAGGAGGAAAAAAAGCATTGGAGACTTTTTCTCAATGGCAAAAGGAATGAATTAAAGACTTTGTGTTAATATTACAGATGGATGCAGATGGGGAAAATAAAAAGCTGCGCACACGCTCAAAAGGAACCAAGGGTGAGTTAGCAAGCACGTTCCACGACCCTGTGCCCAGTACACCATGAAATATGACAGTTCCTGTGCATGGTCCCTAATGTGCAGTAAGAGAGTGTGTAGCTTCCTTAGGGCTGCTTTTTTAATCAAGGCAGGACACAGACTGCTGGCATTAAGAGGCCTGATTTTATTAGCTATGGTTTAAAGAAAAGCAGAAAAAGTCTACTGTATGCTATTTTGTTTAAGCTATTTCTCAAAGAAAATAAACTTTATGCTTTTCATTATGCAAACAAAGATTTTCCATAGGTAGTAGTGCTAGATAATATTGAATGGATGCTTTCAAAAAAATGTACAAAACTTTGTGTCAGCCAACTGAATGTCTTTCTGTCTATTGCCATTAATTATCTGTAAATTAGCTGCATAAATGGTCCAGAAGTAAATTTACTTTAATCAAAAGGTGCAGGTGTATGCAGCAGAGGAGAAACCTGTTCTTTTTTAAGTACTGGTGCTCATGTTCATTTTGCAAAGTTATGACATAGTTGTATTTCCCAGCTATTCCTTTCTTTTTGTAAGGAACAGATGGAAATGCAGTACTGAGAGATAAACAGGCCCTTAATGATCTTAACATCTGGAAAACATGATTGACTAGCAATACAGCCCTTCCAGGAAAATAACTTTTTATTTTAATTCATAACACTTTTTGTGACTCTTGATAATGAGTGAAAAATGGAGATACGTAAAAATAAATGTCAAAGTTTTGGCTGCCATGTGAGCATTTTTGCTTATGACAATTTTTAGATGTGCAAAGCATCCATCCTTCACTCTGATTTTAATATGAACTGTCATGTTCTCTGAAATTAATATAAAATTCATATAGTCCTCAGAAGTACCAAAACAGAGGACTTTAACAAATTTATTGAATACAGGAGTTATTCACACATCAGTATTAGAGCATGTCTTCTCGGCTGGTCAGGTATGTGAGTTAAAACAGCCTGGCTGTCTTAGCAGATTCTAATTGTATTTGATAGGGGTTTCCTAATTTTATCATTCAAAAAGCTACTAAGACACACTCTTAAAGCTTAGGTATTTTCTTTCTTTAATTTTTATACACATGCACACTTACCTATAAGAATTACTAGATCAGGAAATTTTCCCAGAAGTGGAAACAACAAAAGTTGCCTCCGCAATATGAATAAACCTTAGAACCACTTGTTGGCTTTGTCAATATGTTGTATATCCTTGTGTGGGCAGGTATTTGTAAACACCAGCCCTCGTCATTCCCAGATTGAATTAAAATTCATGAAAAAAAAAAAAAAACAGATATTTTGCATTCTATTTTCATTAAAAAGAATGCTTTTTCTTTTATTTTTTCTTACTTTTTTTCTTATTGTTCCACTGAACATCATACTCCAGGTTTTATGCATTCTAAAACATCTGTGAGAATTATATGTTCAGTTAACATTTGCCCCTAGTAGCTACAATCTTGTGGTTAGCATGAAATAATCACCTGTGTTTTGATAGACGCTCCTCTGTCATCACAGATAGGCAGGTGCAAGGTTGTAGAAAGCAAAAGTCTGAAAGTGTAAACTAATTTATTCTTTCCTGCTTTTATTAACAGTTCAAGTGGACTCTATAGCTCAAGAGCTCAGGTAAGAACTCATGTTTATTTTTTAATTTTATTTTCCAATTATATTGATGAATTCATACCAATGATATTGCTGTTAAAAAAGGATCCAGAAAATGATGCATTATGTAGAGGTTTAGCACAGAACTGACAAAAGGGACTTGATGCAGATTCACTTTTTAAATATACTAAAAATAAAAGCAAAATATTGTCATTAATTATGCAAGCATAGTCAAAAGTAATGCAAATGGGCAGGATTCTGGTATGCTGCTTTTTTCTACAGCCTGTGTCAGGTCATGCAAAAAAAGATTATAGTTTCTCATCAGTCTTTTTTCTTCTGTAATAAGTATTACAATATTTTAACATCTAAACATGCTAAGAGATATTAATCTTTATAAGGTTTTGTTAGATGGCTTTTAGAAATCAGATAGTCTCTGTACAGTACTGTGAATTATAAATGCACTAATGGTTCAGTCTTCCACAAGTAGTTGCTGAGGTTCCATATGTTACTGAAATAGCAGAGAGTATTTTTCAAATCTGCATAAAGCATGGCAGTCCATTCAAAACCATAAATTCTGCAAGGGTATTTCAGATCACCAATAACCTAGTAAAATTTTAACATTGTTACTTTAATCTTAGTGATGTGTGCATCAACTCTTAATAAGGGATCCAAGAACTTAGAACAAACACTGGAAGGAATGGTATATTGCTCAGTACCAAATCCTCAAAAAGGAACACGTGCCATCAAATTCATGTTTTCCCTGGGACAAGTTCATGCTTCATGCCCCCCAGGGAAAATATTTACAGGTAGATGTAAATTCTTACAGTTAATAATAAAAATTACAATGGACTACAGCTGCACTATAAACACTGAAAATATTTTTACAAAATATCTTGAAGAATTTTTCTAAATTAATTTATTTTGCCTACACTTACTTTTTATCACACGCTACTGAGCTGCTTTCTTATCCACAGCAGGCATCTGAAGTATGTGGCTGTGGGTTCATCCATCTAGGGAATAGAAACATCATCATGTGATTTATTTGATCAATCAAAATGCCACTCTCTCTTAAGATAGGAGATGAAATATTTACAAGAAGTGATTTGCAGTGAAGACATACAATATTTTAAGGTTTTGTTTTCTAATAAAACTGAGGGAATTATAAGCTGCTTATAGTTATTACATGAACAGAAGTGGAGGCTAACTTTTTGGATAAATTATTCATGGTGAGTCACTCATTCAGCTCTACTGTGAACCTCATTTTTCTGTATGGCTTCAGTTTCCTGAGATTTAGTGCTTCTCCTTTTTCCTCTGTGCGTCCCTAATTTATGCACCAGAAGGATGCATTAATCCGAAGAGGCAGTCATCCAAAAATGAGGATGGTCCATGTGTTCCTAAGAAGAAAATGTTTGAAAAATAGAGGATGTGCAAGTTTCTGCAACATCAGGGAAGCTGTATTTTATGCATTATCAATTACTATAGCTTTTCCCAAGAAATTTCGCTTTTCCTTATGAAATATATTATGTTTTAGGAACCACTGTGTAACAGATTACTCTCTCTGTCAGAGGGGTGGACTAGCTCCATACAAAAACTTCAGTTTAAAATAGTGAGCTAAACAGCCAACAAAGCCATTATTCAGTCCTTAAGTTGCTATCTCTGTTTTCTGCAGTACCAAATTCCATATTGTAGATCTCTGCAGTCAAGTGACTGGCATACGAGTTAGGTGATCAACTTTTATGAATATATTTGTTTATGAAAAACTAGAAGAGGCTGGGTCTGCCTTTTGGATATGTAGGCTACAAACTGCATTGTCAGTACTTATACCCATATTATTGTGGAAAAACTGTTGAACATTCTTCAAGAAATAAAGACTGAAATAGTCTCTTGTGTTCCCTGGATGCAGATATTGGAACCACTGTCTTTTCTGACCAAGGTTCTAAATGGTGTGTTGGCTGAGAAATTTAAATCCATGCTTAATTAATTAGTCCTTTTTACCCTGGCTTATCCTATCTGACAAAGGACTTTTGCACTCCTTATTGAGTTTCTGTTACAAAGTGCCTTGGGATACTTCTACATGAAAGGCACTACATAAGCTTACATGCTCATATTGTATTGTCATTAGTTTCATAACATTGATTGGTTCTAGAGCATTTGTTAGCCTTTTCTTATTCTGCAAGTTGTGTTTCACAAAAGTAGACAATGAAATAAATGAAACACAAAACAGAGAGTCACAATCACAAATTAGATACAATAATGCATGAAAAATTCTTTATTCTAAATTTCAGGGATTACATTCTTGCTTAATGGAATTCAGTGCCAAAAAATTTATTATTTCAAGAAAGCCAACATTTCACTCAGAAATATGGTCAATAGTTCTGCTGTAATCCATTTTTTCCTGAGAAATAAGACCACCTTTCTGCATAAAAGGTATATTTTCAAAAAAAACCCCACCACCTTAAGGGTCAAGTTGGGTTTTAATTTTTTCTGTTTAGCAAAAGTAACTAAAAGTTCTCTTGCACACCATTAAGTTTTCAGAGGACAGTACTTTTCTTCCAGATACTGACCACCTATAGAAAACTTCTATTTAAGTGTCAAACTTGCACTGTCATCATGGAATTATATGGCTTAAGGAATCCCAAATTTCAATATCATGTAAAGAACTTTCTTTATACATCAATGCTATTACTACTGCTCTGTTATTATTTCAGATTTATAAGACTTTTTTAAAATAAACTGTATCTACTCTATATGCTGCAGTGTTGAAGCATAACATGCTAAACTTAATAAGTCCTTCAAACAGGACTGGTTCTCCTTCCAGTTTTACATATTTACGTATGAATACATGGTTTAATTTTTCATTTATCAATGTAGTGCTGTAGTGATTTCACTGATAGCTAGACTACCCACAGGAAGAGGTGAATCTTTTGTCACAATGCAAACATAGCAAAACCCCACAATATGTGGTAGAAGTGAGTGCTGAAGCCAGGAGATCTCTGTCCCATACATTCTAGTTTGAGTCTGACACCTTTCAGGCATAACATGTCTGTTGTATCCATCTTCAGCAAGAAACAGAAAGAAATGGTGTCCTCTTAGATGATTTAGTCATGGACCACTGAAAGGACCAGGACCTTCAGATGTGTTCAGGATTAGAATGAAAACCAAAGGGAAGTGAGGAATATTGGTGTGATGTATTCTCATTACTGTGTTCTATTTAACAGATGGGATACAGTACGATGAACCATCTGTAGGTTATGGAGTGGCATCTGGGTCAGACCAAGGAAGAGCAAATTGGATCGATCCAAGCATAGGATTACTAAAGCATAGATCAGTTTGTCTAAGTCCATATCTTATTAGAAAGGATAACTTTTCTGGGTTAGACATAGGTGTAACCAAGTTTTTCTGGCTTCTGTCTAATGATTAATGAAGACTCCACAAGGCACTGGTGTTTCAAGTCATGGAGAACAGTCCTGCTCTTTGGTGGGAATTGTTACACTTCCTCTTACCCTCTGTAGTGTTGGATCATTTCTTCAAAAGAACCATATCTTCAAAAGTAAGGGAAGTCACTTTTTACCTGGAACTCTTGTTCCAGATGTTGTGAGTCATTTTAGGTATTCAGATAAGTTGAACTGTTCAGTGTGAATGTATAAAGATATGAGTATCTTGGATGTTTTTAGCAGAGGGAGAAGTAATAGAGCAGAGCTCCCTGGATGAGTCTTGACAGAAGGAGTAACAGAACACTTCAGCCTTTGCTGCTGTCTCTTGATTAGGAGGGTGAGAAAGCAGAAGAGCAACCCTGCAGTCAATGGTATTGAAGTATTTCAGGTTTATGTGACTAAAATGTATTCCTTAACTTTACCAAAAAATGTTTAAGAGATATGTCAATATAATCAACAGTATGGACATCACACTAAAAACTATTTTGCTTACTGAAATAGTTAATACTTATTCTACAGTCCAGAAGTAATTACTTATTCTACAGTCCTGAATATTTTGCTTGTTTCCTCTAAGTACTAGTAAATTATATGTATCCAGTTATATCTGAACTCTAGTTTCAGACTAATTAAATGATGGTAGACAGGTTGATAGACAGAAGATAATTTGGGCTCTCAGGAGAAGTTCACAACATGAAAGACTGTGCAAATCTAGATGCATTTAAAAAGGAATCATTAATTGGTTACTCTTTTTGTGAGCTTCACAAAATAAGCAGTTTTTTTAGGAAGTATTTGTATGAAAAGAAAGCAGTAGTCTGGCAGATGACCTGAGAAAGAGGTGAAAGCAGTACTTAAATGGTGGAAGAAGTGGGCACAGGAAACAAAATCGAACAAAATGCTCAAAGATGTTCCTCAGTAAGAACTGAGATTGTGATTGATTTGTGTAGCTATTACCTTCACAGTAATATTATCCCATAGCACTGCTTAAAAGTGAGACAGAGATGGAGAAAGCTGTTTGCTCCTAGTCTGCATCTGGAAAAACTGCCAGGCTTGTCCTTTGGGCTTGGCTTCTGTTTCCACAGGAGTTAATTGTAGACTCAAGATCTTCTGGAAAGTGATGGGAGAAAGCACATTTCTCATAATCCTGAATAAACACATTTGGAATCGAACTGATGTGGATTCTTGCTTTTACTGGTGACTCATCTGTCTCCCACTGGCAGAGACTGTGGGACCTTCATGGTCCTTGATGTGCTCTGCTGAAGCAAAGTGTGTCCCTTAGTACAAATGGACTTAGTGGTAAAGGCTAAATGAAGATGGGTAATAGTTATATCTACTGCCAGGATATTCATCCTGATTTTGTGCTGACACATCTAGGCTTGACAGAAATTCTTTTTTTGCAATTGAAGGCTGCGTTTTGACAGCATATCGTCCCAGCTCTCCTCCCCAGTGTTTGCTATGATGGTGACAGGCTAGGACAGAGTTGTGCCAACTTGTCATTCAAATATTTCTCGATGATTCATCTAAATTAGGCATTTCACCTGAGAAAAAATTGTGTCACACTGTTTCTATTGGTAACTGATCTTCAGTTAAACA